CCCGTTTGGAAATTATATATATCACAACTACATATTCTGAGATTTTCATTGTCGCAGCTACCATTGTACGGCCGTAGGCGCTATTTGAAATTTATTACAATTTATCGGGAGCACCGGCAAATTTTTATATTCCTTTTTTCTCGAAAGCAGAAGTGTTTTAGGGGCTAACATTTTTTTTGCTTATAATACATCCACAGGGGCATCCAAATATATCAAAATTTTAAAGAATCACTGTCCACCCAATTTTCAAAATTTACCAAAACTTTGTATTACCTTTAAGAGAAGTAAGTTCCCTTTTTAAGGTAATATTGACTGCGTTTAGAAATAATTGTTTAAATGAAGATTTGATCTTATTTTCACTTGTATGAAATATGAATTCGATTCATTAATCCTGTCAAGTAAGAAACATAATTCTTTTTTTTTAAAGAACCCTGAGATAAATTCATTTTAGTTATTTGCTATAATTTGTATCTTGATTGTCTTCTTCAAAATGCAAGTTACTATTTTTGCGTCCGGCATTTTAAATACAAAACACGCATAATGCATTCTCCCGCTTAGTCCTGCTGATTCTAAGAAAATAAATGAATTCATTCATTTGTACACTTATGCATTAAACACGAAAGTTTGCTTCACCCATTTACAATTAGAAAAAACATTAAGAAAATTAATTATTTTATTTCGTTTTCTTTTTTCAATATAATTCGTTACTTGCAGGGATCAGTGAATGCAAATTGGAAGAGGCTGGAGTAAGAGATCACCCGTCTCTCCGAAATTACGTGCCATTCAGAAAGGTCTCTATCTAAAATAATACTGGTAGAGGAAGAGTGGGTTGCCACCATCCCGCCCGCCCCTACCTCGTGGAAAAACATGATAAATGAGTGACCTTCGTACCCCTGCCTGCCTGTCATCCATCAATACCTAATGCTTCATCGCCCACCCTCCAAAGGTATTCTGATCATGACCTTCACTAGAACAGATACCGTGGTCATACCGCCGATCAATGTCGTCTTCATTTTCACCTCCTCCTCCTCCTCCCTCCCAAAGCCGTACGAAATGGAGGGGGCAGGGGTTGAAGTCTACCCCTTCCCTTTTCCTCAGGAATCTTGAAACTGCCACAATAACAGTGAATGTCACAGTGGATAAACATTTTTTTCTCTCTCTGTCGCTTTGCTGGCTTGCAAACTTTAGAATTAGAACCAGAAAAGCTGATATATTCTTGCAAGAGATGTCTGCCCTTCGCGAAATTGCGCCCGTATGCCTATTCTCCCTCTCAAATATCATACTCCTTTTTTTCTCCGTTTTGGTCATCCTCTAATCATGTGGTTACTTATGTCTCCCCATCTTCGTCATCGTCATCAATCCCCCTTCCCTACTGAAGTTTTTTTTTGCCGCCATGGTTCTTTGGTCTTGGCAGAAATGCTGTCGCATTCATCAGCCGACGATGTGGATTAACTGACCTATACAGATGTGTAAGCTGGTAGATACGTTTCAACTTGTTTTCGTGGGCCTCAGCATTCCTTGCATTTATCGAATGACTTAATGAGCGATCCAATTTAACACTCGTGTTTAGATGTTATCAAATTATATTGAGTTTCTCATCAAGCCTCTCGGGTTCGGCCCGGCGGTACGGTGGGCTGCTATAGCCCGTGATGAGATGAGCTGGACCAAACAATAGGCATCAACATCCCTCCAGGATGCTTGTGGTTTACATAGATAGATGGATGGATGGGTGGATGGAAAGATGGATGGATGGATAGATGCATAGATGGATAGATAGATAGATAGATAGATAGAAAGATAGACAGACAGATAGACAGACTAGATAAAGAGTGATGTGATGGGACAAAACGAAACAATAGAAATTAAACAATTCCCCGAGGAAGCCTTTGAATTCAATACGATGAACTGCAAGTGAAAAATGGAGAAAAAAAAACATGAAGATAAAAATCGGTCCCTCCATTTTTTCCCACTTACCGACAGAATTTCATTAATCCAAAGTTAAAGACAACAACTCGAGATTTAATGACAACTTTTCTTAAGAGATAACCCACACACCCGAACATTTTTTTTTTCTTGTAAATATCTGGGGGGGGGGGGGGATCCAGCTCGAGGCTATTTGTCCACTCTGTCAACGCTTGAGCCCACGGCACAGGTATCCAACGTTGCTGGATCTAACAATTTTGTTTAATATTCCACTTAGGGGAGAACAGATTCGGGGCAGCTTAAAACTTCTATAATGGCTGCTTATCAAAGCAAAATCAAAGCAATAGGATGAAAACCCAAACGCCTTTTTTGAGGGGTCTCTTCCAAAAGCTGTACATGCTAAGTTTTCTTTTATAAGGCTTACTAAAACTACACATGAAGTTTACTTTCTGTAATGATTAATCTTATATCCATGCACGGTTATCCGTCTATAATGATTACTCATCCGCAAATCGCATTTAATTTTAAGGTGCCTCGTGCGTCCTTAACTGAATTAACCAATTGCCATGGCTTCTAATTTATAGCTTTTTATAGCAGCCATGTAGAATGTTATTGAAATGAATTCTCCATGATACCTCACGCCAGCTCAACACCACGTGATATGTCTGAAATGAGAGATAGTTGAAATTCCGACCTAAGTGGCTGCCATTTTGCATGGCATAGAATATCGGTGATTATTAGTCTTAATGACTTATGATGAGAGTTGACGCTGTCGAGTATATCCCATCTCCATCTTACAATACGATTGGTGCGACTATACACGAGGTCTACGTATTTTTGAAGGTAGACTATAGTCAGTGGCGTATCCATCATGATATATTTAGGATGGCGCGGGCATGTGCCCCCTTTTGGAAGCCCATTATTAAAAAAAGAACCCACAAAAAATCAGTACCACAAACATGCCAAGATACAACCTCCCTCTCCTAAAGGGAATTCCATCCGCCTCTTATCATAATGTTCTGGATACGCCACTGCTCTTCTTGAGTTCGTAAACTGATTGAAAAGTAAAAGTCTCAAAGAATCACACAAAGTTATAAATGTTCGGAAATTATGCAAAATCAATGATGAAAGTGAGTGAATAATGCGGAAAATTGCCGTACTATACGTGATCTATAATTATGTTCATGGTAGTGAGTACATTTTTAAAAATTGTTGGGCCTCGAAAATTTAAAAATTTGCACCCCCCCCCCCCCTTGACCGCCAAGGGGGGGGGGGGGCATCTTCCCCCCAAAAAGGTAAAAATCACGTGTGTTTGCACGTTTTTTTTTCCCGGGGGGGGCGGGCCCCCCTGGATCCGCCACCGTCACCACCACCACCACCACCACCACCACCACCACCACCATCACTCCACCCCACCATCACCACCACCACTCCACCCCACCACCACCACCACCACCCCACCCAACCATCCCCATATTTTTTCCATCACTACAACGGGGTAGAGCTATACCATTTTTTTAATGCAAATAATCTACAACGTAACAAGTAGGCCAATTACTCCATTTGAGTAGAAAATTTATCGATTTGCAGTCGCTTGATATAGGCCTGACGATGCCACTGATACATTTTAATAACCGGCATGAAAGAAGTCGTAATAATTATTGCTTGAGGCGCTCATATCCCAATACTGTGCATGATCTTTCGTGAAATATCGCCATCACACGACAGAGAACAGTTACAAGTCTTTCTATCTAAGCCACCGAGATCAGTGAGTGACATATGAGTTGACACTTGCAAAATCATGGTTACCATGGTTCTTTTTCATAAAGGTTGACAGCCACTCGGAAGGTATATGAGTTAGAGGGAAATAGCATAATACGGGAGAAGGAGAAAAATTTATTTGAAGAAGAGCAAATTATTTTTAGAAAGGATTTTTATACACAGAAAATAAGAAATAGGGCAAATAGCTAAACAATATGTTTTCAGTCATCCTTATCAGCTTAATCTGTCTCATTAATTCAAATATGTTTTTAACGGGGTCGGAGTTATGGATTGTGATACTATTCAGTTCTCGGGTCATGAACCAAATAAAGTTAAATTCACTATAGTAGATCTAGTCCTACATGTAAAGTAATAGAGAACGAATTAGAGAAATGAATTCAAAGTTGAGCCCCAACCTATCCAAGTCTAGATGCATGCTACCTGAACTGGAAGTCGTGTGAGCAATCTGCATTATAAATCTAATACAAATAAATAACACTTTTCATCTGGGGATCCGCATTAAACGTTGATGAGCCAGAAAGAAGAAACCAGTTTTGTACGCATCGGATTCAATGATGCCCAAACGATCGAGATCGAGGGGCATCAAGTATAACGATCGAGGGGTAGTTGCACTCGCATGGTACTTTTGTCCACCATGGTAACCATGGTTACCATGGTGGATGGTAATTTGGACAAAAGTACCATGGTTACCATGGTACATTATTGTAAGGGTCACCGTCCCCTTCTCAGTATCTCTCCTGTGATTCATATTAATACAGATTGGGAGTTTTTTTTAACACAACAATTTTTCATATTTACTAACAAAAGAAAAAACAAAATCAATTTCCAATAAAATTACCAAAACAAAATTGCAATAAAAGCAAGGCGCGAAGACCCTATTATTTCAAACTCTGTTCAATTCGACAATAAATCGTAAGGACAGTAGTAATTTTTTCTTGCATTATAACATGGAACAACTCTATAAAATACCCCACCACTAAAATTGACTAAACGCTCGTAGGGTACCAAATACTTCACCAATGAAGCTAAATTTCAAGACTAAAGCTTTTTAAATAACACTAACCCTAGCCCTACCCTAGGTCTTCAACGTTTATGAACATTAACCCCAAAATTGTTCATTAATTTATACGAATCTATTTGAAGAATTGCTCATGGGGTAACATTATCTTTTGTACCACCCCCCTGACGCCCCCCTGACGCTCCCCCCCCCTGACGCCCCCCACCCACCTGACGCCCCCCCCCCCCCCGACCCCTGCAGCTGCCCCACGATAAAGAACTGCTATTTCGTGAGAGCTACGTAACGGAAATAATGAGACTAGTACTACGCTCTAGTCGTGGGTGTAAACATGGCTCCATACTGGAGTATGCAGATCGCCTTTCCCTGTTTAACTCAAGTAAAAGCTGTTCTAAGCTGTCTTCTGTTGGCTGTTGCTTACGTGGGAAGCCTCTACGTGTGGAAGAGAGAATTACCGAGGTATGAAGATGTTACAGTAGATTTATGAGAAATGAATACGATGTTTATTTGGGCGATAGACCGGAAAGGGAAGAGTCTGCTGCACGCTATACTACAGCGGCATGTGCAGTGTATAATGCATGGAGCTAGTGGAAGGTGGTTGGGTACATGTATGGGTCCGCTTCAATGCTCGGGCAGCCAGTGCCTCGACACGGCGGCACGTCTGCTAACTGAGCCGAGCTCAGAGGCTAGAGGCAAGGCACCAGCCGAAGCACTTTATGATGAGTGAAATCTAGACTAGAACTTGACCACTCTTCTTTGTTCATGACCGTAACAGACTTTCTTAATATTACTAACTGTATGAAACTATGAATTAGTATTAGGCCTATAGTGTACTTGAAGGGGACTCAGGGAGGTGTCTGTTGCTGTTGCATGTTGAATCGTAGTCGTAGTCTCTTCTTGCAGAATGCAGATGCAAAGTAATGCAGACTAGGTCTAGGCCTAGGCTAAGTGATAATGTGATAATGTAATACTGTCAAATATGATATTGATATCACTTAGCCTTAACTGGCACCCTTAAAAGGCCATGTAGACTCTAGGCCTGCACGGAGAGGCAGGTAAACAAAAGCTAAAATGTGTCAAAAATCACCTCTTCCCGCACCTGATTTAATATTGCAATTTGCACAGTGGCTTTAATCTTTGCTAGTGGACTCTTCTTTCTTCTCATAAAAGCATTTTAAAATCGGTCAAAAAATGAATATGAAATGTCAGATTTTACTACCAGAGGGGTAGCGATTTGCTTACCTTAAAGATAAAGACCAGTTATGGTCATGCGATTGCATTGTGAAAGAAACGTTGTGGAATCGATCAGAAAAGGTTGATCATCTCGCATATAGGTAAGTATTGGTGTGTACTGCAAGGTTCTGAAATAATCATAATGATAAGAAATTTGGCCTAGTCTTCGTAAAGTTACAAGTACTGTACACAGAAAGATGATTATGCTATACTAATCGCTATTATTATAAAGTAAGTATTAAATTGACAACGCAAAAAACAGTTTTTATGTGTTTACCAGTGTTTGCCAGTTCAGTTTAAGTGATATCAATATCATATGTTACATTATCACTTAGCCCTTAAGGTTAATGCAGACAGTCTAATGAGTTGATCACTTTGCAGCAAATGTAAATAATTTGTATCCCAAATATGCTACTTGTACCAAAAATCATGACAAAAGTCTCATGAGAGTTAGTTTTGTCTACCTGTAGGTTATTTTACAGTGCAGCGTCACTCTTACCTGTCTTCTCTGCCTTTTCTAAGGCTCATGCATGATCAGTATGGACAAATTATATTACAATCATTTACTTCCTTGTTAGGAGGTTCAGACCAAGGTTTGTCTGAACCTTGGTCTGAAACGCATCATATGACGCACATAAACCTAAGTTTGTCAACAAACCTCCTTTGTGAATGTCGGCCGATGTGCGCTTGTAGAAGGTTTGTAAAGCAACACCTTTAAACATTTAATAAAGTAGTTTTAAGTTTTAGGGTAATATTTTGAAATGTTCTCCTTTTCTGACTTGCAAGTTTGCAAGAATGTGTGAGCAGGCTTTTGTACATGCGTCATTATTGCTGCAATTTTCTATAAAGTACCGGTAGACAAAATAACATGAGAACACCTTTCATGTTTCCAAATGTTGTAATGTAGAGAATTCAGAATTGCCAGTGAAAAATTCCACTCAGCCAAAACAAAGTGCATGTAATGTAGCATGTGATTGTGAAGATGAATAAGAAATTAAAGATGGGGATCCGTTGTATGCATCAAAACTTGTAGAAATTATATCTAACTTTGAAACTGTAAAATCATGTACAGTTGGTCCCAAAAGTTAAAAAAAAAAAAAAAAATCATTACCAGTATACATTATCACAATTTCACTCATTCCTGCCAACTCACTTCAGGAAGATAGACAAGTTTGGTCTCTGTTAATGTACATTGTATATACATGTACTGTATATATACATCACTAATCACTGTGAGACATACATGTACGTGTGACTCCTGATAGGAATGAGGGTAGTCGTGAAAATGTGAGTAAAATGTTTTTCCTTCAGGTTGTAAACTTTTGAGCCCAACTATACGTGTACAGTGCCAATGGAAATTTTGTTTCCTGATATTTGATTCTTGGGGCTTGTGAGGCAAGAAGAGGAAGAGGAACAGGAATAAGAGTTATGGACCTTGTGAGTGTTTACATGGCATCTGCATGTTCATCTAGGAAAAAAAATGCTCTTTCCTGCTTCTATTTTCTTAGTTGAAAGACATATTCTACATATATTGAAGTTTTTAGATGACTACCCATCTACAGTACATAATACATTGTTTCCTGCCGTCATGGAGAGGGCGTTTCCACCAAATGTAGCCACAAACACAGAACATTTAAATTTGTTCAATGAAGCAGAATGATGGATAATGTATGGCCTCTAATGAAACTGCCAGGCTGAAACAGTTGTGGTTAGTCTAGCGGTTACACTGCATTTAGTAGCCCCAATGCATTCAGTATGAATACATGAATATTTCAATGTAGCAGAGGTGCAGTTTATCAAGCTATGGGTTTTTATAGTGAAGGTTTTATACTTTATTGTCCTATAATCCTATTATGATACCCGGATGTAGATGTAAGTAGCTTAAAGGTAAAGACCAGTTATGGTCATGTGATTGCATTGTGAAAGAAATGTTGTGGAATCGATCAGAAAAGGTTGATCATCTAGCATCTAGCATCTGCAAGGTTCTGGAATCATCAAAATGATAAGAAATTTGGCCCATTCTTCGTAAAGTTACAAGCACTATACACAGAAAGATGTATATGGGACTACCCTATATCTCTCACAGACCATGAGAGAAACAAATTTACCAAATATATGAATTAGTAGGCGGTTTCCCGGCAAATTTGTTATCATCATGTATTAGTCAAAACATATTCTTTCACATGATTGGTAATGAGAGCTTCCATTTCATTTTTTGAAATTGGGGCGTTTCCAATACTGGTCTTTACCTTTAAAAAAAATTTGATGGTACATTAACCAACAAAAAATATTAGTAAATATTGATACTGCATGTTCATGTACATGTGTAAGTAACGTATTTATCCTAAAGGGTATTCAAGTCAATTGATTTCATATTTATTTCATTTCCAACAAAAAGATAAACAAAGATATTACATTTTTTTCCATACATAATTAATTTTTTCTGATAACTATTCAGTGTACAAATACACTTTGCACATAATAAAATTATTACAAGAAATTCTTAATTTCTGAGGAAATGGGGGGGGGGGGTCCACTAAAAAACAGTGCTTGTAGTTTGTGGATCCCCCAGAAAAAATATAATTGTTTCAAATTTTGCCTACAATGACTTGGAAAACACAAGACAATATTACAAAACAACAAACAGCCACGAAACGACAAGGAGAAATAAAACAGATAAGAAGAGGGCAAAGAGGGAAGGGGGGGGGGGGAAGTAAATTCTGCTGTGTTGGTTGAAGTGTCTATATTATTCTTGATTATAAATTGTACTTTGCAATACAGATTTGAAAGTTTGAAATAAATATATTATAAGTGTGAAGTTGTAAAAAATTTAAAAGAGACAAGACATCTTTTGAATTTCAACGAGTGCAATTTCGAGTATAATCAGATGCTCTTTTGGCTCATTCAGTGAGTTTAAGCAAAGTTTAAAAACTCTGGAAATGCTGAGTAGGGCGACGGTTCGGGAGCTGCCATTCCTCACATGCTCAAAGCTGCACGTTGTGCACACAGTACACACACATAAACATTAAGCAATCTACAGGTAGAGTGCTTTGTATGACCGGTATTGAGGAAAAGTTCTGTATTATTATTCCATTTTCAGTCACAAATAAACATGTGTTGATGTCTGTAATTTGATTTTAATCCCTCCTTTAAAATCCTAATCATGATCAATGAATGCCTTTCAGGTAATATGAAGGCTAATTCTCTTTATCCTTATGTCCCCATCTCATTTTTATTCTCTTTCTCACCATTATCTACATCTAGTAGAATATGATTAGATAGATGTTACATTGTCTTACTGTACTTTGTAAAGGAAAAATTCATAGGTGATGAGAGCCTACTACTACTGTAGTTCAAAAAATACTCACAAACTTGTACAATTGCTCATTTTAATTATGTTGATAGATACTGTGTTTGATCTAATTAACTTTACAGTGGTAGCTGGTAGTACCCAATGATTATTTTCTCCTTGGTGACTCTCATCAGCAGTATTGTCAAAATGCTCCAAACTCCTGTGACTTAATTAATTCTAGCATTACTGGGGTCACGAAACAGTGTGTTTGTCTCAATACAATACTCATTTGATGTCGTCAATATGAGGATGGTATGAAGCAGATGCATAGCAACAGTTGCTGAGGCTGAGCGTTGTATCAGTATGCTGACTGGTGCTGTGTTTGCAATCTATTTATCATGTGAATGAGAGTGGTGAGGCATGATAACAAAGGGACACAATATTGCAATGTCCAAAGGAATTAATACGACAGGCTTTGTTGCAATTGTTATTGTTTATCGTGACAAAAAAAAATGAAAGTGGTATTGAAATCATTCACCAGAGAATTTTAACAACAAAATGTAGAATAATAAGAGTACAACCAATAATGTATCCTTGGTGGCTGTTGGACGTGTTTTTCTCTTTCAAGTATTTCTTATTTATTGGTCATGAGAAATTTGATAATTACTTGCAAAAGAGTATTATCTGTAATATAGGGGGAAAAAATGTGTTGAACCCAACTCTAGCAAAGGCAACGGGTATCCAGTTAAGTGCAAGTGTATTTCGGTTGAATTCTAGAAAAATTCCGAGAATTTCTGATCAATGCTGTTTCATAGCTCTCCTCAACAGAAAATACATTGATGGATAATTTGTACATTTCAAACCATATAATTCTAGGTAACATGTACATGTAAATACACAGACATCATTTTGGACAGAAGTAACAAATCATCCATAATTCATAGCCGTTCTGTGGCAGTAATATATGAAGCTAGGAAATTATAATTCCCTTCTCCCCACCGTCTTTCAATCCAGTAAAAGTAATAACCCAGGAAAAGTGTATTGGCTTAGCTTGGTCAATGCGCTTGTGATACTGCCCAAGCTGTCACTGACTGTGTGATCTGATAATGAAGCCAACTGAGGATAATGACATTATTGCAAGATTCCCCTGTGGTCGTGTCTAATAAATATGGATCCAAAGTCGGCTGCGCCAGCGCTGAAAGAAAAACTATTTGATGCTGGTGATGTTCTTCCACTCTCACCTCACACGCGTGCATGGACAAATGCGCTCTGTACAAATGTATTGTTACATGTAGCTCTTCTGATGGAGAGAATTAAGCAGTTTGTATATTCATGTAATAGAGAAAGCTGTGCAAGACTTCAGCGAGAGTGTTTAGCTGTAAGGCTTCTCTTTCATGCAGGATTACCATGTACTCAGAGGTTTACATTGTACCAAGGATAATTATTTGAAGATGTCAATGATTGGTTATTAAAGTCTTGAACTACATTTAAGTTCTTTGGAAACCATATATTTATAAGGTTTTTAGTTAAGTCTAATTTGCATAAAGCTGCATAAAGTTATGTTATATAATATTACATTGACATCAGTCATCAATGAGTATTCAACATTGTTCATGTGAATTACAAATACATGTATGCCTACTTACAATATGTAATGAAAGCTGGAAAAAAAAAATTGACATATTTACTGGGGTTTCATTGCTGAAATTGTAAATTAGCAATATGCGTCAATTGATAATTACATGGCATTATATTGATTGCAGGAGAACGCTACGTCAAATTGAAAGCAATATCAATAATCCATTTCCCCTGATGGAAACTTGGAAGGTAAAATTAATCTCATTCAATGAACCTCAATGGATGCACTTTTTTTCCCCGGGGGTGATATAAATATTTATTTTAATGGTTATTTAGTTATTGGCGGTGAGGAGCTGCGAGGTAGGTAGGAGCAATTTATTTTGATTGGGTCCAAGTGTGATGGAATATTTTTTAGTGCAATACAGAATAACTCCTTATTTCATAAGATGCAGTGTTTTATACAGTATGTTTGGGGACTACATGTATGACTGTTATCATTCTAGATGTATTTCATCCATTCCAGCGTGACTTGCCTGACATTTGATGAAAAAGGGCACTTAAATGTTTTTACAAATCCATATCAACAGGATATCCATTATCCACTGTACATTATTTTGTGAAGATTATATTAAAGATTACTGTACCTACATTGTAGATACAAGGCATTTTAGCTGCAAAATAAAAAGCCATATTCTGCACGCTACTCCGAATACGAGTATTGACAAATAATTTTTAATGAAAAGTGAAAACCTGAATTAAATGGTGTGACTCACTATAACTAGAAATGAAGTTTCTTGACCTCAATGGATACCAAGACTGTTTTCCTAAGAAAGTATATTATAAGTGAAATCAAAGTCATGCTTTGTGAGTATTTACTTGATCACTTTCCGCATTTTGTGCCTAACTGGCTTTGAATAATAATAATGACCCAATAACAGTCTTTTAATTGTGTGACTCGCATGACAAGTTCAATTCTGCTTTTGAATACATACAGGCATAACATGAATCAGGTAATCTGTACAAACTATATATTTTCATCAGATAAATCTACTTCCCATTCAGTTGTGGTAAATTATACATTTTATACAATATCTGTTCTACAGATACAGGAAAATTCAACCCATTTACCCCACCTTGAAAATGATCCCTAGAATCATACCTAAATAATAATTCTCCCATAATTTATAGATGAAGTATTATGCTTTATGCCAATATTTGCTTTACTTCATGCCATCTCCATGACATCACAATAACATAGACTGTCAGCTATTGTATTTGGCTGGCCATTGCCTGGAAGATTGCAGAATAGTTTCTATGGCAACACACAAAATCCATACTCCATAATTTAGTGTTCCTTATGTTCATGCATGCTTTCAAGATCTCTTAAAGTGGTATTTATATTTTAAACCTTTCAGTCATGTTATTCAACAGAGGTTCTTTTTTACCAAATTACATACAGCAGCGTCAAGAATAGTTGACAGTTGTGTCGTGTAGTGAAGCATTGGTATTACTGAATATGATGTTTATCAAATGAGTTTGTAGAGCAATGTGTGTAAATATTTTTCTCTTACCAGTTATACATGTAGATATTCATCATTGTTTATTGCTATTTATCTTTCCCATTGTAATTGAAATCTAAAACTTGTAAGATAAATGTAATACCGGTATGTACAGTAAATACTGTGTTCTGTGTATACAGATATTAAATTTTATGGCAGGCATGTTTTAAGTTATAAGTACTAATGGATTATTACAAAGGCCATAGTAAATTCTAGCCTATTGTCTTTTTAACATAATACTTAAATTTCTATGAACAAAGAGGAAACTCTACGGCCCGAATTCACAAAGGAGGTTTGTCGACAAACCTTGGTTTTCGTACGTCATATGACGCGTTTTACGCGTTTTTTACAAACCTGGTTTGTAAAGAACAAAAGGAGGTTTGGCGAAACAAAAGGAGGTTTGAGCTCAAACCTTGGTCAGAGCTCAAACCTTGCTTTGTGAATTCGGGCCTATATGTTGTATGTACTACCAACTGTGTCCTATTTATCCCTATACATCCTAATAAATCCTCAAAATTTTAACTTGGTAAGTACATAGATGTGATAATTGTATTTATTTTATTTTTTTTGTTGTACATCAGTAACATCACATATACATATTTAAATGACAATGAACATAAGTATTGAGCTGCTAAAGTACATCTTATTTTTTCCTTCATTGCAGAGACCATCCTAAGACGATCAAACAGCGGACTCTAAGTGTGTTTGTAGTTTGTGCAGCAGCCCCATTGTTTCTTCTTCTAATCAGCAGTGAGGTACCACACAGTCAGGTAATAATAATAATAATAATAATAATAATACATGAGATTTATATAGCGCCATTATCCATTTTAATTAAATGCTCAAGGCGCTCAAGGCGTAAGAAAACTTCATATGTGATTATCATAGCACAATCATCGAACTTAAGTCTAAGTTGGACTTAAACAATATGGAGACCCATTTTTAGCCTTAAAATAAAATACACTGTATATTCAAAAGCAAAAATTTCAAGTATTATCAAGAACATGAAATCTCCTTGATAATAGAAAAAGAGAATGATTTGATTCGTCATTTTATGCCTTTTAAAATCACTTTTACAAAATATTTTCAAAGATTTTCGAAGATGCTAACAGCTTTCCATAATTGTTAAGTCCAACTTAAAGATAAGTTCAACTTAGGATCTTTGTGAAACACCCCCAGGCATTGTATCTTCATTTTTTTCTCTCCATCCAGGGTTTGGATGGGTAAAGAAAATTCCCAAATGTAGAATAGCTACATATAGCATCTTCCTTTTTCTCATCAAAATGTAAAAATGTAAAAATCAAATAAAAAGATTGATCGACCCAGCAGGTTTGCATATAATGTATAGGACTCAATATGATTGAATTGGGTTATATTCTTGCAAGGATCATACATGTACATGTACATGTACATGTATGTTTAATCTCTCATGTATGCTAGTTAGCTCTCCCCAACCCCCCTTTTCTCCCTCTTTATTTCCGAAAAGCATCAGGATGGTTTGTGGACCATCACTTGAATTCCCTAACCATGATAGAGCTTGTTGATCAAAAATTCTCTACTCTGAACACCAAAATTAGACTGATGGTTGGACTGCCAACCTGTGATGTGAGAATCAATATTCATCAGTGAAACCAGAGAGATGTGGCTTAGGCTGGAATCGTTGTGAAATACTCCTAGAATCTTAAAAGATCAAGATAAGGCTGGCATTAAAAGACCCGCTTAATATTCTAGTGTATTATGATATTAACTCTTCTGTAATGGGTTTGGGCGGCTCAGGGAAATGGGATATGAATGGAAATTTTGTCTATCATAGAGGACCCTGGTACATCTATAAAAATACATAAAGCTGATGGGTGAAAGATGGAAGTAGAAAGGAGAAGTAGCTGATCTTTTCAGATAGTGGGAGCTTGGATCTACTTACAAGAACAAGTACTATAAAATAATGTTTTAGTATGGTTAAATAATATTTGCAGTTGTGTGTACCGAGTAGTAGCAAAAGAGGACTTCTGATAAGCCTTGAAAGATTAGGTATTCAATCTCCCCAAAAAGTGAATGATAGTATTAATAATAATGATTTATAGAATCAATAGATATGTATTTTTCAAGAATTTGCCAAGGGGGTGATTAGAGAGGAAAATAGAGGGACTATCAATGAAGGGAAGGTAAATGAGATATTTAATAGATAAGGAAATGGGAATTTATCTTTTTTTATCTCTTGAGATTAATATTGATTACCAAAATCAGAGTTTTAGTTGGTGTGTTAGTGATACGGAATACCCCCCCCCCCCATTGACAAATGGCTATTTACGAGCATTACAAAAATATAGTTTGAAGAAAAAAAAACTAGTCCATCTCATTTTAGATCTTCTTTTCTCCCCCACCTGGTTTTGTTATTATTATTATTTTATTTATTTATTTATATTTGGGGGGGGGGAGGGGGGGAGGGGGGGGGGGGTCAGGATATAAAACCATACCTTATCTGTAAAACAGAATCCCAATCCAAATATTAGGAATATATAGGTAACCTTGTACATACTGGAGCAGAACATTTATTATGGCCCTACCCATATACTATAGACTGCAGCTTCCGTGTATACACTGTCATATTGGCACTTCTTGAGATTACAAGGAACCTCAAGCTTGTATCCTTGTAATCCTAAACCCTGTGGCCCTCTGCTGATCATGATATGTCAGACATTGTTTATCACGATCAGGTTTGTCGATGAAGGAAAGCTTGTTAGACATCGAGCTGAAGAAGACAAGCAGAGGATTCAATCAGTAGTAGAATCCGGTAACATGATCAAATTAATCAGAAAAGAAAGGAAGTGCCTATGAACATCTGTTCTTTAAAGGGGTACATTTCGTGAGTAAAGAAATGTGTAAAGGTCATGAATAGTTCTAGTGGCTTTTGCTTTTTTGATCATATGGTTGCTTTACCTTTTATCCAGTGAAACTACTCAAACAAGATATACTAATTTTTCTGGTCAATCAGCCAAATTTAGGATTGTTTGTTTTAATGCTTCAAAAAAGGGAACTTTCTATTTTTTTCCCAAATTGTTAACGCTTTTTATATAGAATTTTTATTGATTTATTTTTAGGGGGGAGGCATTTGAGATAGACATAGACTGGATGTTAAGTAAAAGAAATAAGTATTTGATTTTGAAAGGTATTAGTAAGGGTTTTTCTTATACTGAATGTATAAGGTGTAAATGGGGTACCTGATGTGCTCGAGCGCTAGTTACTTTGGCAGCTCGGTTATAACCAGGGTGATATGTGTAAAATGCCATGAGCATCAGAGCCTGGCGGATACTGACGCTATTTTAATATCCATATTATACTTCATTTCGTATTTATTGATATATTGTTCAAAGGAATATTGAAAAATCATTTTGCAACTCTGCTTTTATCTTTCAGGGATTATCACTATGTCAGCATCTGGGTGTGAGAAATCCAGGTCTTCTAGCCGCCATCACTGTGCCACTAGTTCTAACTATGGTGAGATATATGTTAAACAGAAGAGAAAGGGGGAGAGAGGAAAATATACGCCACATAGAGGGAGGGGGAGGGAAAAGGAGAGAGAGAGAGAGAGAGAGAGGCAGAGGAGGGGGGGGGGGGGGGGGAGAGACGGCCAGACAAACCAGACAGATGTAGATAGACAGAGAGAAAGATATTATGGGGGAGACAGAGACAAAGAAAGAGGCAAGGGAAAGGATGGGACTCGTGGGAGAGAAAGAGAGAGAGAGGGAGACTGAGAGAGAGAGAGAGAGAGAGAGAGAGAGAGAGAGAGGATGAGAGAGAAAGAGTTTAATAAATCTTAGAATGTATACCTGCACCTGAAATTATTAGTAACTATGGCCAGAGTCATATAATTTGTGAAAATGTGTAATTATGAATGTAAATATAGATAGGCCGAGGCAATTAACCTCGATTAAGCATATTCCCTGTGTAATGAAGCAAGCCATGCAAAAGCAATATTAGGCCCATTTACATTCCAAAAAGACCTATTTGAAAACCATCAGTTTTGGAACTACCATTTACACATTACAGGAATAAACTCATGAAAAAATAACCGTCAGTGTTTGCTTTAGAGTTGTACAAATGCGTCACTTGTGGCTGATCTGCACATGGTAGCGTTTAAGCAAGGAGAGTCAGTGACCACAAAATGGAACAATTCACCCCTGTTTTGAGGGCGAGCATTTACACTACAAAAAAATACTGGAGATATTTGGCCGGTGGTTAAAAAATCATCACTCCTGTGGTGGATTAATAGATTTGGGTTTTTCGTTGTTTTTTGAGGTAGTTGCCTAGCAATATCCAATAAAACTCTGTAATATGAACTGGGGGGCGTTTCACAAAACTTGTCATCGGTGACAAATGACAGTTTTTGTTATAAGCTACTGAAATCCTTGCTTCTGATTGGTTATCAGCAGATTTGTCACTGATTTTTGTCATTTGTCATTGAAAAAAGGCTTTGTGAAACGGGCCCCACATCCATTGGTTTTTGCTTGCAGTGTAAATGCAGCTACCATACTCTTTAAAGAAAATCTCTATATTCTTTAAGAATTATACACTGAGTAATGTAAGCCACCTGCAATGCTGTAGTAATGCTTCCATAAACCATGCTCAGTCGCAAATATTCATGATTGAACTCATAAACTAAATGAAAATTGGTCATTTGGGATGCATTACTGGGTAATTTATGTCCTGGTGTAAGTCTTTCAGAAAGATTCAAACCAAATAAACAGGCTACTGCAGGAAAATGCTTTTCTTCAAAATTGTAGTTTTCTTTCGTAAATTTTCATGCTGTTCAAAAAACACACACCGTCTGTCTGGGATGTTCATGGTTGCATTGAAGTGTTACGCGATACTGTAGAGATAACGTGGATGATAATCCAAATTCACTAAATCTAATGGCACCTTTTGTCTGGCTTTCTTTTATTGCTATGCAGTCTAGGGATGCAGTTGATTTTTAAAAAATCTTCCTCTTCTTTTTTTATGTAGTAAATATACCCGTTCTCAGTGTACTGAGATCTTCTGTTTTGTACCAATGATGTGTATTACAAGGAAAAGATATTTAAACCAAAACCATCTTAAACAAACTCTGTTTAGGCAAAATAATGAATGATTAGATACTCTGTTAGATTAATGAGATAACTATTCTTTCACTTTCTAATGTTCATAGAGTACCTAAGTGATTTATTATTTCTATTTCCTGATAAGTATTAAAGAGATAAATGACTTTGGGTGTTAGTCTCATGCATACAAGTTTAGTATTTACTTGTTTTAAGCAAGAATAGAAAAACTTCTCCTTTATCCATATTTCTAGTTCAGACGTAGCACATTCCAGAGGCTCTGGTGCGTTTGAAATAAAAAAAATTATTTATTCAGCGCTGTTCTGACTTTGTATGGCATTGATAATTTCTTCATTTACAAGTGTTTTCATTTCTTCATTTTTTTTCTGTGTTGTTTTTACAATAATGTACATGTAAATGAGTAGGTTGTAATCCTTGCAGAAGTGTTACTTGGGCTTTTTGATTTATTTCATTTGTTGGTTCTCTTTCTCTCTCTTCTACAGGTTCTTTTTCTAGGACCTTTGTACATGCTTTATTTGGATGGATCTCATGATGTACCATTTGGTATGACCAGCCAAAACATATCATTTATAGTATAACAATTCATAGCCAAGCTCAATTCTCCAGGTTGATGTGATTGATGTAGTACATGTTTAACCAAGCATAACTCGCTTTATTGATTCATGGATGGCAAAGTGCAACCCCTAATTTCTATGTAAAGTACTGTAATTACATTATGAAACGGAATAGATAAACCAAACTGATTTGGTTACAAAGGGCTGTATGTAGTCTTTTCAATTTTATAATGGTATTTTCTTTTCATTTGAATGCTACTAATGCAGGTTCTTGCCCGAACACAGATCAGACTCGCAAAGTGATATTTCTTGATGAGATTTTATACCTGTATGTTCCTGTAACTTGCATAAAATCAGGCTAAAAATAGGAAATATGAAAAATTGAACAGTTTTGTTATACATTGTCAATTTTTTGTTGTGGGGGGGGGGTGGTTTCAAGGTCATGTGTACGCCATTGTCCACGTTTACTCGATCATCAATAAAGATGATTTCAAATTGTGTGTTTTATTTTGTATTACTTGCAGTAGAAAGAGGTGTCTTCGGGAGCAATATCGCATCACAAATGGTGTGGCTGAGAAATTATTTGATTGTAAGTATCATACACTCTCCTCTGCAATACATACTACACATGTAGTTTTTTTTTTAGTAATTTACCTTTATTTACAAAGTAATTAAATATTCATCTCTTTTCTTTAACCTAATGCATGACTGCTCCAGATAGGCTTTACAGTTCTAGGCTGTCCATCTGGAGAAGAAAAAAAAGCATAAAGTGGAACCAGGTGGCAGACCTGCAAACTTCTTTACCAAAGAAAAAGTAATAAAACTATTTTTTGTTAAACCACTAGAGAATGTATGGAATCCAAACATGTTAACATAGCTGTCATCAGTATTCAAACTTTGCATTGCAAATAGTTATACTTTCTTTACCTTTTCTCTCATTCCAGGCTCCATTTACAGAAGAGTTTGTATTTCGAGCTTGTATGCTGCCTCTACTAGTGCCTTGCTTTGGCTGTCCAACAGCTGTTATCGTGTGCCCTCTCTTCTTTGGAGTAGGTTAGTTCAAACACGTTATTCCAATGGATACATGTGAACAGGATCAAGCATTTGTGAATGCAGGTGTCACATACCCTATTTCTAAACATTTGTGATTCTAAACCTTTAGGTAACATACTTGTTATTTTAGAGCTTGTGAGTATTTTGACTAATTACAATCAAGTTGTACCCCAAACCTTCTTATTTTACACAAGAAAATTTAAATGTTCATCTCTTTGAAACTGTCCAAATATTGTGTCAGTTGAAAATGAAATTGTTATTTAATGAATTATTTTGTTGTGTGTTTATCCTCCTGTTGTGTCATCCTGTAGCTCATATACACCACATCATTGAACGATTAAGATTTGGATCAGAGCCTTTATCAGCAATCATTCTTACAGCTTGTAAGTATAAGTATGTCAGTATTGGTACAAGAAGATTGTCTGGCTAAGTACAGTATGGGGCTTATTCTTGACAGGGCAAGTCCATGGCTATTTGACCTGTGACGTAAGGGATAGATCAGAACCCATCTACCTCTTTAACTTTAAAATGAATTGCACAAATAAAGACTTTTGTGGTGATATCATAGCTAGTTGTGACCGTGTTATTAAATGCAAAGAAATTTGTACTAAAGCTCCGCTAATGAGGTTTTATTCTAATGAGTATGCGGGGTGACGTACAGGACCAGGGAAAACAATTTTGTTTTACAAAATCAGACAATTTTCTTTCTTCATACATTCAGGCATGAACACCACAAACAAGAAAACATCACTACTTGTTACTGTTATGTAACAGATGAAGGTACAACGATGTACATGTGACATCTAAAAATAATAAAAGGATCACAAAATTTGAGGTTTTAGCTTTAAAACGACATCCATTTTGCTGAACAGACAACGTAGGAGTTTATGCCATTTTGGCTCCTAACAGACAATATATTGTGTAGAAATGATGTAATTTGGATGACAGCCCTTTGTTCTGGTACATTGCACTTGTACAAATTAGAATGTATTGTGTTAGACTTCCTGTGGAAAAAACTCATTAACTCAACCTATTTTCTCAAGAGTAAAAAAAAAGCCATTTGATAGCCCATGTGAGAACATTGGGTGCCATAACATTTTGATCAAACCCCATGAATGAAATTGGATTGTTTTAATATTTCCATATTTGAATATTGATTTTGTTTTCTAATTTCTCTGCTTTAGTTTTTCAGTCATGTTACACAACTGTATTTGGTGCCTACTCTGCATTCTTGTTTGTAAGAACAGGTGAGTTATATTATCATAAGATTGTATTCTTGAAAACTGACACCTCAATCCACCCAGAATGCCCTCATTGTGCATGAAGTATCAACCTTATCAATCTGTGCATAATCTCTTTCTTTCCTTTTTATTTTTTAATAAAATGAATGAACAAAATAAACTTAGCGATGGAATAAAAATGATAAATAGCTTGATAAGGACATGATGTCAGTTGTACTCATTTGGTTACAGAGTTAGGTAACTTTTTTAGATGAAAAGGTTTACTGTTGTACAAACGGTGACTATCTAGGTGTTAGTAATGCCTGTGTGTGTTTTACCGTTTGTAAGTGGTTTTTAACTTTTTATAGTTATGTATCAATGAGAAATTTGATCATTTGCGTTTAGGGATAGACCATTAATGCCACCACTTAAAAGATGTGTTTCGGTTTCAAACTGGGTTCCGTCAGAGTTGGGTTTTTTTTACGAGACAGGAAGCTCACCATATACTGCTAGACTTGAATCTCCAGTGTGTGCTTGTGTGTGTTTCATGCTTTATGCAAATGTAGATCATCAATCATATATGATTATTGAAGTCTGGGATCGTCCTTTAGAATCAACATAGGAAAGATGTATGGGTGTTAGCTTATAGAAAAACGCAGATGGCTGACTGTACCGCTAGACCAACTCACCTAATTTGAACTGAATTCTGTATTGGGGTTCTGTTTCCATGTTCTTATGCTAATTTAGTATTTTAAAAAAGAATGCAATTTCAAATAATTTGTAGTTATCAAGACAAGTTGTCTGTATGAAGCATTAGGGTATTGTTGTTTGGATTTCACTAAATATATATTTTGTTCCCAGAAAAAAAATGAGTACAATTTTGTGAATTGTTATATATACACATACTATGAACTAACTTTATTGGCAATATCCTCCATGATGATAATGTACACAAAAATCATCATGAATAGAGTGCACTTCCTGCAGAGCACTCTACTCAAATACAAAGATTCTTAAATTCTTATTAAAAAGTCTTAGTCTTAACAAATCAATACCCTTCACACCTTCATTGAGCCCATACAGATGTTTTAATAGAGATTAGATCTTCACCCTGTTAAGGCATCTGATCTATTAGGATTAACTCAGTGAACAACAATACCCCAATGGAAGATTTACATACAGGGACTAGCACTCGTATCCTCCTGGTATGCATTGAGTGTGTTTGAATGTTCCAGGAGGCTTAGTGGTAAGAAAACAAAGCCTATGATAGTCTGTATTATGTTAATGGGGATAAAGAAGGAGAGACGAGAAGACAGATAGAGAGTGACTGAGAGAGAGAAGGGGGGGGGAGGGATAAGAAAATAAAAGTGGAGATTTAGCCACAGATCTGAGCAATAGAGGAAAAAACGGCAACATCTATACAGCAGTTGAAGTAGGGCAAGCCCAAAGTATTGTGTAATACTGACATCATCGAGTATGGTATAATACTGATTAGGTTTAAGGTGATAGGCCTGCTATTAAAGGCATGAATGCATGTATCATAGAAAATCATATGTTAAATTTGGACTTGGTCCATTACTATTAAAATTTGATATGTATAACTACAAAAAGTATCTTTAGACTAGACAAGATGAGTACAGCATTTGTTTGATAATTATCACTTTTTTGTATTCAATTTATTAGGAAGCAGAATATTTTGCTTTTCACAGCAGTGATAATTCTAGTTAGCAAACAATTTTGTAGTCATAAACGAGGATTATATTACACTTTCCATTATACTAATCTTTTGATCATTGTCTCTCTCTCTTTCTCTCTCTCTCTCTCTATTTTACCCTCTAGGCCACCTGGCAGGGCCATTCATTTGCCACTCATTCTGTAACTACATGGGTTTCCCAGAGATAGGTCATGTGTTCCACCACAGTCCTAGACATCGTGCAATAATCACAGCTACCTTCATCTTCGGATTAGTGACATTCCTCTTCCTCCTCTACCCTCTCACAACGCCGTCTTGGTACGTCAATGCCATGTGCGATAGTCGGAGCGAGGAGTTCAGTACCCAAGAGCATACGATAGAGCTTTGATGATGATGATGAAGTCGTCCTAGGTAGCCGTCTCACTTTGCCGTCCTGGTGTTTCAATACTCACTGCAATAGTCTGGATTGTGCTAATGAAGATCATACAAAAGAATGTTGATCAAAAATCTCTTGATAACTTTTTCTTGACACTGGTAATTCAATGCCATATGTGATAGTTAAAGGGAGAACCTTAGTAACTAAGGAGTTCTTCTAGGTAATCCCCTCTCCGTGCTGTCCTGGTGTGTCAGTACCCTATGTGATAGCACAAGTCAGGGTCGTTACAACCAATGATGTTCATTTTTTTAACTTTGGTGATCATCTTGCTCTTCTGTGATTTCAACACCATCTGGATCTGTTTTCTCATTCGATGCATGGGCGGATTGTGGGTTGTGCCATCGTGGCATGTATCATGATGCAAGCCAGGAAGGACCACTAGCACTCATCATGTCCACTCCTTCCATCAGTTAGAAAGACTCCTTTTCAGAGGTCTTAATGCCATGACACTCTACAATCCACCACAGTACACAAAATCCCTACCCAATTTTAATACATGAGCGGAGACCACATCAAACCACTTCCGGTTTACTCGGACGATCCCCTCTAGTCGACCGTTCTCATCACAAGAGATGGTTAAATCTAGTGGACGCTAGATCTTGCTGTCTCTCCAGGAGGGTGTTTCACAAAACTTGTCATCAGTGACAAATGACAGGATTAGTTATAAGCTAATGAAATAATGGTTATCAACAAATTTGTCACTGATTTTTGTTATTTGTCATTGAAAAAAGGCTTTGTCAAACGGGTCCCAGAGGTCTGTCATTCAGGATGGCTGTTGTCCTCCGTCGTGCGGATCGGAATGATGTTGCAGCATCCGCACCAAGTGTGTGCTGTCCCAGGTAATGACAGTAATAATCTTTGCCAAACATCTATTGCCACCAATCATCATTCTTTCCTGATATGCCATTACCTAATAGATTTGGTGACAAGGAAGAACATCCAATACAGCATTTAGGAGGAGTTGTACCGGTAGTCATTACCAGTGACACCTTCTCTTTCCTTTGTCATAGATTAAGCAAAAACATGTGCTGTCTTGTACAAGACTGTGACAAGAATACTGATGAAGTCAGATGTTTTTGCTTCTAAGAGGCACTGTGGATAGGTAGTAGGATAGTTAGTGTACACCATCATTTTGAATTTTGTTTTTCTGCAACATTCCATTCTAGTGATTTCTAGCATATAGACCATGTCCTAAGATCAGTGATGAAAAGAGCAGTAAAGAACCACAGTTCCCTCCAGTGCCTCCATACACCTACATGTATAGTGTGAAGTAAAAGGAAAAAAATGTTTGGCATCATATTTCCTTGTTGCATATTTTATCACACAATGTAGCCTTGCACCCACACCATCAAACACCTGTTATAGCATCTTATACACCAACTAGAGTAGGTCCTCATTCTTTACATGCATTTAACCGTTTCCAAGGATATAACCAAACATAGGCAGTGAGTTAGAATGTAATGACATATCCCCATCATAAGTCATGTTCTTTTCAATTGTTTAGCGTCCCCTGCCCAAAACATCAGGAAATAAAAGTTTGTTTTTAACGGACTAAGGATGCCAGTAAATAAATCAGGGAATTGTTACGTGTTTATTATTATGAAAATTAATGAAGTGTCAGATATCCGTCAGCATTAGAATTTATCATAATACATCAATTATCAAATAAGATACACAAAAGTGATAATGATAACATTCTGTTCTTGTATAACACATGTCATATTTTTAGGACATCATCCCTGTGCACTTCCAAAGACATTTGGAAATTAATTTTCCAGCCTTAGCTCTGGCAATTATAGCCAGCAAACAGTAGAGAATAAAATTGTCAGATTATTTGAGGAGGTTTTTTCGTATAAATTCTGCATTATGAGCCTGATTATATATCCATGTTTCATCTTCGTGCTCCTGTGTAAAGAGAGTATCAATTAGATGAAGTGCCTTACCTCAGATGTCATGAATTGGAAATGAACTTACTGTGTATGTATGTCACTAGCATTTATTTACCAGAGACCACGCCTTTGATGCCTTTGCACCCCTCGGCCACCATTACAGCTTTACGAGGGCCACGCCCTAGTTTTGCACACTGCTTTGCCATTCGCTGCATTTCGTTTTTTTTTTCTTCTCAAATAATTGCTTTTCTTATTTTTGCAAGTTAAGCACAATTAAAGTGAATTATTACACATTTGTTTTTTAGAAGGCGGTGGCGAATGGTTCAGTTCAAGCATTACATAATATAATTTTTATGATAACATCGGAACAGTATTGCAACCCCACTCAACGAGCAGAGCACCCCCCAAAAATGATGTTGGCACCACTACATTTTAAAGCGACAGACATGATTCTCTTTAAGACTCTATTACACTAAAAGATTTTGCTGTGTAGGAAAACTGTTATATGTGGTTATGATTACTCCAGAAGCTGCTGTTGAGTATCACTGAACTGAAATCAGATCTGTTAGTGATTTATGAACGTGTTGCTGTAACCTTACTTTCTACAAATCAATTTAACCTTTATTTCAGGGAAAAAACTCTGATGGAAACCATTTTGAGTTCTTTTTTTACCCTCAACTTAAGATTATCATCAGGAATAGAGGAATGTGTGTGCGCGCCAAGATATGTCATGTTGGATAAACAAAGGCATATATGCAAGATGCAGTAAAACATCAATTACGATCTCAGTCATTGTACTGATTTTATCTTTAAAGGGGAAGTCCACCCTGATATTTTTCTGGTACATGTATTAGTAATGCGCCTTGAGCATTTGACTGTCAAGTGGATTTGCCGCCTTATAAATCTTATGTATTATTATTATTAAAAATGAGATTAACAAATTAGTGATAGTTTGAGCAATATCTGATTAAAAATAGGAAAGTTCTGAACATTTATAGTTGAGATCAATTAAACACAAATTAGCAACACCGTCACATATTTTGTTAGGTCCTCTGTAATTTACTCTGTTCATAAAATTTCATAAAATTTCATAAACTTTCATTTTCTTAGTTATTGATGACAGATGATAGGTTTGTTCATACTGGGGTGGTATAAAAACATATTTGCAATAATTATATTTATGGTTTATGTATGATTGAATTTTTTGTTAGGGAAAATAGCAAATTTCACATTTTAATTTTTTTTTAGTATAGAGCAATTGCGAGGGTACCTGGCTAGATACATCACAAGGTTGCCAATATGTGTTTGATTGATCACAATGATGACAACTTCAAAACAATTTAATTTCTTATTTTTTATCGAATTACTATCCTTTTCCTCTCAATTTTTCTTGTAAAACCAACTTAACAAAATAAAACCAACAAAATATCAGGGTTGACTTCCCTGTTGATTCATACATAAGAATGAATTAAGGAAATTTGATTTTCTAGCCTAGAAAATATTTATGCATTGTCTTTCTGCTTAAAAGTGTGTATACATGTATTTCCATACTAAAATGGCAATAAGTGCCACATATTATCATGTGGTATTTAGTTATTGATAAATTATATTTTCTTGTTTTGTCTAATGTGATATTAGTGATAAATATATACACCCGTGGCAAGGGTTTTATGGAATGTACATAATTTACAGGTATTGTGTTTTATGGAACATAGGGAGTATAGCGTATGACTGATGATAGTAAAGTATTGAATATTGGTTGTGTGTGTGTTTATGTTGATTAGTTACTATAGTTGATATTAGGACAATCACAAAATGTGCCTAAAGTTTGTATCTTTTTTATGTTGTGGAGAATATATAAAGAAAATGTGTTAGATCTATGCACTTATACATGTTTTTGCAAATATAGTATTAAGTGTGTTGAATGTTCAATATAGTGACAGCCATATTTTCCAGCGCTCTAACATAGGGATGTGTGTTCAAATTAGAGCCTCATACCGAGCATGGTGGCTCAGTGGTTAGAGCGCCCGCCTCATGAACGGGAAGTCGTGGGTTCGAACCCCGGCCGAGTCATACCAAAGACTTATAACAATGGGACCTTCTGCCTTCTAGCTAGGCGCTCACCATATTATATTGGAGAAGGGTAGTAATAACATATTATGTTATACAGGGCCCACTGCATGGAAGAGCAGTTTCATAACTGAAGTGGCTACCCTGGGTAAATAAAACATTATTAACATTATTCCTATAAGAGGTGGAAACCAAAAATAAAGAAAAAAAAATTGTTGTAAAATTATGATATAACATAGATGTATGGGATAAACACAGCGACATACCTATGTATGGACATACCTATGTATTAAGCTTGCAGATCATTTAGTATGCATCAATGCTTTGTGTGAGAACATCTATTTTTCCATTTACAACCAGATATTGCCTCAAATAAAGTGTTTTTTATTTAGCACTAGTGGTTGTACGAGGTGACTCCCCACCACATGTAGGACATGTACCAATCATCGGAATATATTATGCCAAGTGTGATATGGGTTCCATTTTTCTATACTTTAATTGAAATATTACTAGCTTCAAATATATCTTCTATAAGGAGATATCAAATACACTCTGAATAAGCACAGGTGTAACTCGTGAGTAGACTAGTTGACACACCTGTACATACCTGCTCATAGTAGAATAGGGTGCACATGGAAATCAAATCAGACTTGGGTTCTGACTATGCACACCGTATTTGTGTTCTTTATTTCATCATCATGTTGTTAACCATCACCCCCATAGAGTGCCAGGTTAAATTTTATTTTGAGGTTGACTCGTCACTCTATTCATTCTAGCTGAACACAAATTGTTATGTGGGGTGATTGGTACACTTAAGTGTGTGAATTAATTTATTTTCACTCTTTCATTCATTCATGCCATGTGCTGTAACTGATTTCTTCATGTGAAGTGATATATGTGAATTGCTTTTCCATGTCTTAAAGCGGGACTGCACTACTTGTAGCTACGGTACTTGCATCCTCCATACAGCCAGCAATGCCTAAGCGGTAACCATTGATCCCCATGGTCCCCTTTTTCTTATGTTAATTGTAAGCTGATTTGATGAGATAACCACCTGCCAGTGACCATGCAGGGAGGTCTAATCCCCCCTGGCCAAACTAGTGCAGACACGCTTTAACATTCATGTGCACTGTTCTTATGTCGGAGCCCTTTCTCACACCCTCATCACATCCCTCTCTCTTCTCTCTGACTTGGCATAATCTTATCAGTAAAGACAGAGGCACTGATCCAGGTGAAGGATATTGGGTAAATGTCTCATGGATGTTTGTGCAAGCTCCCCATAGTCTTTAAAGGGGCCAGTGCTGCTATACTTTATGCAGCATCTCAACTACTCCACGAGACCACTACTGAATTTCACACATAGATCATATCGAAAGGATGTATGTCTCTTGTTAGATCGGATGGCTGAATAATGACGTCGTTGTTTACAGTATCAAGTGTCGGACTTATAAAGAATAATTTATATAGCGTATCTTAGATTTGAGTCTCTCTAGGCACTATGTAAAACTGAGCAAGGTGAGAAAATTTTTAAATAATTTTTGGATGGAGGATATAAAATGAATCGGAGTGTATTTTAGTGATGGAAAGGGACTAAAAAGACTACCAACCAGTTTTTAAGCTGGGGGCAATGATTCCATCTTCAGGAGGGAGAGGGGGGGGGGGAGCATAATATCCATAAATGTTTCAGAGGACACACATGCAATCTTAAACGTTATGAGGTGGCAACTGCGACCCTCGACCCCCCCCCCCCTCCTCCCTCAAGAGGGACATGTTCAGTGTTTCCATAAATGTCAGAACAGGCAATCAAAAACAAATTAGTATTTATAACTATTGGCATTATTTTAACCAAGAAATTATGGCATTTATATATCATTTTGTAAAAAGAAACGAGAGTGAGCCAAAGGGTGAGAAAGAGGTCTTTTTCATTTCATATTTACCATTCCAACTCCGGTATTTACTCTATACATGATGCTTCTGTGTAATTAATTTTTTCAGTTTATGGATACATTTTCATTAATATTGTTTTGTATCAGATCAGGTACATTTTTATATAGACAATACGTGATTTGTGTTATAGTTTATTTGTTTAGGTGTCAATAGTTGACTGAAATTCTTTGTAAGTTTGGGTCCGATATGAATTTGTGCAATTTTCTTGATGTATAGGTTTGCTTGTGTTTGATGTAATAGATCAAAAGCATTTTTTGTCATGACCTGAAAATAGGTTTACTTTACCTGTTTCGAAGTCATTTATATCTCATATGTTTCTACACCACCTTCACGTAATGTAAGAGGGGAGAATTTAAGAATTTAAGAATGTAAGAGAGGAAATTTTATATCTTATTTTATGGTAGTCAGAAATAGCATCCCAAAAGTCATCAATATTTGAGACAGTCGATCAACTCGCAGGTACATGTATTATCAAATCAAATCAACTGTAAAAAGGGAACACTAATAGTCGCGATTTTCACTGTTCACGTAGAATTGTTATTGTGGAAATGAAATTGCAACATTTTATGTTTTATATATGTCATAATTGCCTATGTAATGTAAATTGAAGAACTATTTCTCGCTCACAACATCTTGTTGACCGTAGAAGTAAAATTATCAGGTTTTCCCCAGTTCAACATTTCATAGCGTCCCAGGCAACTTCTTTTGGAACATGATATATAAAAACACACCTTGTCAAAAACAGTGCACGTTTACGTTAACTTAGTTCAAATTTTCTTTAACTGATACATCTGTCTGGGTCAGGATTGTCAAAATATATAAATATACATGCATATTTTTTATTTTTTTGTTGGGGGGGGGGGTATCACTATCACAATGTCTCAAAAAAATCTCCGTCAGTCCTCGCAAAGGGAAGTTGCGAACGAGAGAGGACCGCCCACTAAAACGGCGAGTGATTCATGCCTTATCTCAGTTGGGGGCTGCGGCCTATTCGACCCCCCCCCCCCCCCCCTCCCCCTCGATCTGCCTATGAAAGACATGCCTGCAAATTGTATCAACCACTAATCGCTATACCATGTTCAATGCAATGTATTTGTATTATGACCGTATATGCATGATAATGAAACTTGACCCCGAGATCCGCCACGCTCCATGCTGTTGATAACAGCGAAGTACATTACCCCCTTTTCAAAAGAGCTGAGAGGTGGAAATCAAAGTCACACGATCAAATCAGATTTATGCAAAGTTTTGTTTTTATTGTACTGTGGTAGAAGTTAAGAAATTTATATTTATCTATATTTCTCTAGATGTAAGTATTAAATGCCTCTCTATGAAATACTATTCGGACAAGTTGTGATAATTCTTTTGTTTTTGTTTGCGTTGTTTTTGTTCAATTTGTTTGCAACCAACGCTCAAAATTTGCGTGAAAGCTTGGTTACATGAAAAGGAAAGAAAGGACAAGAATATAAAGTTTGAAAAGAAGAAAATGAGAGAGACGTAAGGAAAAACGTATAAAAGTGAGGGTTGAGTTGGATACACGAGCTAGTGAAGAACAAAATACATGTTATTAGTTTAGAAGATTGAATGAGAAAGACACGGTGATGTAATATAATATATTCTCAATGGTAGAGTAAATCGATGATAGGAGTTTTAGAAGGATATTGGTGGGCGCAGTATTTGCCATGCGAAAATGTTGAAGGAGGTCCGATTGATATGTGAACATAGATGTATTCCGAAACAGTGCTACATTTGACATGATTTGTCACTTATTTTACTCGGGAGAGGTGACGAAGGAGACCGTATAAATTTGTTCGTGTTCAATATCAACTAAGTGTTCCATGATATAAATATAAATAAGAACAAGTTTGGGTGTTTTGGTTTTAGAATGAAATAAAAATACACCACACGGTATAAACCATAAATTATTTTGAGAATGGCACAACAAGCGGAATAGACCAATGACGTTATTTAGGTAGCGTCATCTCATTTTTGCAACGGAACTAAATACAGCTCATCAATTACCATCGTAGAGTATGTAAGGTAGCTTGGGAGCGATGTGGAAATCATTCATTTCCCAAGTTACCGTCCAAAATGATGGAATAGTTAGAAAGCGAACCCCTTCCAGGTAACCGAGTCCTCCTAACATGCCTTAGTGGTATCCTTCTCCATTACCCCAATTCGTAGCAATGCCATTTTCTGCGCAAGGAAATGCTAGTTTGCGCCCCTACCAGGTTCTTTCTAGACGTATGCTTGTTTTTGCTTGATTTTAAATGAACGTCATAAAGTCAGACGTGGGAATATATTATGCACTTTCGGCATGTTTGCCAGCGATGATATCTGTATGTCGAGGTCGTGTATCACTGAGTATTACAAATTGTGAAAAATTCTGTATGCATGGATAAAATATTGAAATATGAACTGCTCTTATTGCTTTTTAATTTTGGGCAACCGTTAATAGATAGTGGTGACGTCCTCCGGCTAATTCTCCGATCATTTTTTCATTCTTTTTAATCAAATGTTTTACATTCATTGTATCACGTTTTGCTGCCTCAATTATAGCATTATATTGTAAGACGGCCGTCATAATTGCTTCAGCTTTAACAGCAAATATAACTCGGAATATACTTATTGTATACATGTATATTATAGATCAGCTTCCTTATATATCCTTGATCCTTGCTACATGTTAGATTTTCTTCTCCTACCTTTCGCCCTTTTATATATTTGAGTTTGTCAAGCATAGCCATAGGCCTTGGCAACTCAAATGATCAAGTTCAGAGTAACATAAAACTATAAACGTGTATGTATTTTGAAAGCTGAGCCAATGCAACGCGGGTGGTTATATATTCAAAAGCCAAGTCAAAGGTGTAAATATTGAGTCATTTGAATAAACTCTATTCAAATACAGTCATGGGTGGGGTGCACACGGTTATGTCTCAGCCAAACAAAGAGTGAACTTTGCCTCTGCAGGACTCTCACCAACACCTCGGCGTCTTTTGTACGGGTTCCAAACGACCAATCAGCGACTTCCGTCAAGTGCATAACAATAGAACTCCGCTGGGTTAATTAGGTGACCTCCGCCCGGCGCTGTATTTGAATCTTCCGTAGCTACAGACACACATTCGTGTACGCAGCGATCACTATTATTGGCACAGCCGTTTGACGATGGAAGCACGTAAATATGTTTAGTCATGCAAGGACGGATTACAGATTAACTAACTGGATACAGGATAGTTATTATTAAGCTGTCATCGATGAGAGGAGGAATTAGTCATTTTCCACGTTTGCTGACGATTTCGGCGAGCTCTTACTCTTGACGCAACAGCATTCTTGATAAACGTTCATTTACTGGCGAACTTCTACTGCAAAGCAACAGAGAGAGTGCAGACAGTGTTTTGAAGTCGACGCAGCTGGATAGTAAACAAAACTCTCAACGGCAATTTACGGCTATAGCAGAATTGACGTCTGAAGTCTAAAAGAGATTCAATAACTTCTTTAGCTTATAAAGTATTCTTCAGGGAAGCTAATTGAAAATGCATCAGTATATTGAGGTGGAGAAGCTTCGTGCTGGCTATTTCGGCACCGAATACAAATACAGAGAGAGGGGTATCAAAGGAAAGGAACGACTCGCCAAACTCGTGCCGGTGAGCAGGCGAGGAAAGGCCAAATGGGTCTTGGAGCAGTACTATCGCAAGATGGTGTTGAGACTCCCCAAACATGACAACCTGATCAAGATCAAAGCAGCTTTCTTGAACAAAGTCGCAGAGGACGGTGATGACGAGGAGGATATGTTTTTGTGCACGGTGTGGAAGGTTTGCGGTGAGAACAGTCTGAACTTGAATGCCTATCTCCTCTCTCGTCATGACAGACTCGATGATGATGCTTACAAGTCACTGATGATGCAGCTAGCTCAAGCCATGGAGCATCTCCACTCGAATGGCACCGCCCATAACGCGTTAACGCCTTACAGTGTGATAGTTGTTGAAGGAGTAAAAGGCCAAGCCGTGGTCAAGGTAGGCGATTATGGACTGACGCAGGTGTGTGGTTCAGCTTGCAATGAAAACTACAAGCCCGATGGACAACTGGCCAAGAGTTTGGACTTTTATTTGCCTCCCGAGGCCGCCGATGAAGGTTGGGGCCACCCTGGTCAGGCCAACACCACGACGGATATCTTCATGCTTGGGCTGATGTTCAGCGCGATGGCCGAGCACGCCGTGCTTGAAGGAGCAGACCAGAATGAAGAGACAATCATTGCGACGTTCGTCAAATTCCCTGGTTATGGTGCCGTGCCTATCGGGAAGTTCCTCAACACTAATCCAAGCATCAACCTTGATCAGCATCTTCATCGCAAACTCAGCCACGAGCTCCGCAGTCTAGTCCGACGAATGACACTCAGCGATGTCGACTCACGACCACCGGCGAACGGCGTCATCCACATGCTGACGGCTTGCCAGACCATCCGAGGAAACGAGAAGTCAGGAGAAGAAGCCGAGACACACATCACGGCGAGATCGTCGTCGACGTTGCCACGGAATATGACATCGTCATTGGCCAGGAAGACGAGCATGAGAAAGAGAGCAGGAACCAACCCTGCCATGTTCAATCCTTGCGTCTCACCACCCCAGATGCCAAGAATGAGTTCTGCTTCGGTCATCAAGCCACCAGCACCAACCAAGACGAGCTTAATCAGGAGAGCATCATTGAGGGCGAGTAACTACTTGAGAAGAAGTCGATCAGTCAAGATTTCAAATTGATTGGTGAGTAGAGAGAAGTGATGATGGATGATGAATGGAAAGACAGGAATGTAGGGGAGATGCTTTAAAAACTAATGTCTCCTGTTTAAATTATGTATGAAATAATTTGCAACATTCTTAGACACTGAATATATTCCAATAACAATGTTTCAAGCAGAAGTCAAGGACATTACCCTGTGCATGCATTCATAGGGAAAATGTTATCATTTGAATTTTAATGCCAATTCATGTCTTATAAACTCTGTTAGCTTCAGCAATAATGTCTGAGATTGTCCTAAGTTTTTTCTCGTACTTGATTCTCTATTAAAGTTACACTAGTTGGAAAGAAGAGAATGCATTGATCACCAGTCCTAAACTCATTTATGATTGGAAATGTGTTCAATATCACCGCACTGTAGATAATAACTCCACATCGGGAAGAGCGTCTCCATTTTTTCCACTAATACATGTAGGAGTCATTTTGATAGGAATACAACCACTATAGTAGTACCTTGAAACCAGAGAAATCTCATTTAAGGTATTATAGAAACAATGGTGCCTATTAACGCCAAACATTGACACGCATGTTCCATCATCAAACAGCTTGCCGATAATCATTAATTCATGAGTCAATGGTTTTATAATGTGCATCACTTTCTATACAGCAGTATTTTCTTGCTGTGGGCTAATAATTTTGAGCACCTCTACATTGCTTTCTCATCTTGTTCCCCCTTGCAGGTACATACGAAAGAGACGGAGAGACTTCACTTATACTGTCCTATTATAAACACATACATGTATAGACTTACATGTTAACATCGGCGGGAAAAACCCTTAGACGTCTGAGAAACTCTCTAAAGTCTGCCGATAACTTCCGATCAAACTTTCACTTTCTTGACACGGTGATATCAAGCAGAGAACATGCTGGATGCCAAGCTATGATTCATCACCGGAGAGGAGGGACTTTGGCTCGCAAACGTGCCAGGATTTAAATCAAATTGTAAATCAGGATGACGCTTGTATTATTCGAATAGAGTTACAGAACAGAGTTGCGGTCGGTATTAGCATTACTTTGTGACATGTACAGCAGTGCTTTATAATAGCACAGGACATAAAGAGGCTTTTTACGATATTAATATTAAATGATTTTATTTACCCAGGGAAACCTCATCAGCATCAATGATGTTCTTCCTGAAGGTCCTGTAGTTATTATTACCCAAGCAGTTGCCAGGGATCCGGAGAGGGGCAAATATGGAATAATACATGTATCTTGCCAAAAGGACTGCCGGGCAGAGATTCGAACCCTCAACACTTGATTGAGATTCAAGTGAATTATTCACTATACCACGACACCGCCATTCCTTTTTGAATATGCATGTGTATTTGTACAGATCATTATTTTACCATAGTTCATATTCACCAAATGGCCTTGGACATAACCATTATTAGTTAAAAGCTGAAATTTTCTCCCAACTATACGTAAAATACTTTACGTACTTATTTCCAATTAAATATTTTTTTAAAGGATAAACAAAAACAATGATAATGACTTGTATGTAGCTTAATGTTGATCGTTTTAGTGCTTTTGCTGAATATCTTATTAAACTTCGCGTAAATAAACGTTTAAGTGACATCATTCAATCATTGCTCTATCTTGCCTTACGATGGCTGTATATGATACTTTTGTTGGAATATGTTCGTTTCTTTATTTATATCAAGACATTTTGATGCCTTCCACGTCCCTGCCTTTAAATGCAGTTTACATTCTTAATATGTACATAGATCACATGATTGTATGTCTCGATTTTTAAATCCCCCTCCTCAAATTTCAAGTAGGGTTTTTTATTCTGATGATTTCATGACATGCCTGTGTGACTTTCATTATAATGACTTTTAGGCCCAAAGATTTGTAGAAGCATCAAGTGTCATTTGAATCCAGATATTGAAAACTGTACAGTATACATGAACATGAACGAGTAATGGTATTCGGAGCGCAGGAAGCAGTGAAATATTTGAGTTTTTTGAGCGGAAATGTCGAATTAGCGTAGTATTACACGGATATATCTAGAAAATCCAGTTGTGTGACAGTTGTCGAATAGCAGATTATGAACTTTAATTTGTGGTATTAGCCTCATTTATTATTGAGAGGTCGTTCCTGATCTATTTAATGATATAATCAGACTTGTGATTCAATTTATGAGCCTTATCTCATGGCTACATGTTTTAGACTACATACATCACAGCCAACCATGTACGTGTTCATAATGCACGTCACAGTCGAAGAGTCTGTAATAAAACTAAATAATAAATGTTGTGCATGATATTGATAAGGTATTTCGTTGCAACGTGTATTTCCTTGATAATTATTTACACAGTTTGTTCACAAATGACGTAATTGACTACGTAATTGATTATGTTTGATTACATGTGATGTTATACGAGCATTAATACAGTAGTGATGTTTTTGCAGCAGTATCCTCATATCATTTTGGAATAATATCATTATTGTTGATGATGCATTGAAACTATCATCCATTTGACATTGCATGCTGACGAAGCAAAGGGACGCTGTGTACATGAACATTCAAAAATGATTATGGGACTGTTATCATAATCACGGATATATTCTATCCGTGATTATGTAAGGTAAAAGTAAACTCGACTTGGGTTCGAACCTGGGTTCTCCAGGTCGCTATACCGTTAAGACCACTGTTCTAATTAATATTTGAGGCTCACTTTATGCTTTCGATAATCAAGTTATGATTATATTTCATTGATTGTTGTTGTTTCAATGCTCACTTTCCCTTCCATAGTAGTGCCTTAAAATATACCTTTTCCTTCGAAGCCCATGCATAAGCGCTTGTATTAAAAATCTAAAACCCTGTACAGTTTACGCAGATTGTGTTTGCTATTGTTTCATTTTCTTAGTTCTTGAATCTTTTTTGATAATAAGATCACGAATTAGGTAATTAAGGAGGTCAGGGTGAGAGAGAGAGAGAGAGAAGGAGAGAGAGAGAGAGTGAGAGAGAGGGGTGGGGGAGAGAGAAGAGAGAGAGAGAGAGAGAGAGAGAGAGAGGGGGGTGGCAATATGGCGAGAGAGGGAGCATCAGAGGGGAGCGTGAATGGACGGATCGTGAGGTTCGGTGTGAAATGTATATAGGTTTTACAAAAAAAGTCATTCACATTATCTCTCAAATTTATGAACGGGTAAGCAAAATATATTCCATTGAAAGTAATGGACGTTACTTTTCAATGGAAGTACTCTTATTTGCCTGACGATGTGCCAATATGATTTCTGTACCTATATTGGACATATACTTATAATTTGGGACTTTAGGTAAACAAAATATGTTTTAACCTATTGAGGGGAATACATCTAATCACATATTAGCAATCAAGTATTTTCAACACTATTTGTGCCCGTACAGGCTGAATATCAAGGAAATATATATTTAGGGATTTTTCGTGAACACATTTGCATAGTATTTACTTTATCATTGTAATTACTGTATTCTCTGTAGTCCATTATACACCGAATATGCAGATTACAAAACGTGAATAAAATGAACTAGAAATTTAATTCGTCATGGGGACGAATTAGGTGGTCTGTCTTCAAGTCTTATGATAGATTATAATATTTACTATATTGAGAAAGGGAGAAGTTATATAGACATGTAAACAATGATGATCATCATGATGATCATGATGATGATGATCTTGATAGTAATGGTGATGACGACTATGATGATGACGATGATCATGATGATGTTGATGATTATCATCAACAGACCACGATGACATTAGACTGAAAAAAATGAGAGAACATTTAGATAGTATATAGTCTCAGCTACAACATACTCAAAAATCAACAAAAATCAAGCCGAAATAACGGCGATATTGCTCGCAAAAGACAAGAATGTAGAATCCAGGTTTGAGAAAAAGTCATCTCCCATAAGGATTACACGCAAAAAGTAATGGATCTAGTGATAATAGGGTAATAATAAAGTAAATATGGTTGTTTATTACATTATTTGCGATTGTACGTGTTTTAATATTCAAAGGAGATGGTAGAGTGAAAGGTCAAAAAGAAAAAAAAGTGAAGAAAAAAAATTGTTGGAGACGCCCGGACTCGAACCAGGGACCTTGAGGTCTGAAGTCAAGTGCGTTACCGATATACCAAAACATTTCCCATAGAGATTACACGTAAACGGAAAATGGAATTCTCAAATCCCACTTTGTAAGTGAAATATGAGCATGATCCCGGCATCTGATCGAAAAATAAAGGACACACTTGTGATAGCTTATTTTCTCAGCTACAACATACTCAAAGCTCAGCGTAAACAAAGATAAAACGACGGAGATATTGCTCGCAAAAGACGAGAATGTAGAATCCAGTTTTGAGAAAAAGTCATGTCCCATAGAGAATACACGCAAAATGTGAAAAATTGACATGCCTCCTTTAATCGCAAAAATACGCCATGATGCCATTGTCAAAATGAAATATCATGATGACTACATTTGTAGAGAATATTCTCAGGTAGAACATATCAAAATTTGAAAGAAAATTAATCAATATTTACAGAGATACAATCAATTTTACAAAAATATGCTGACGTCATAATATGCAAATTGAAATTTTGAGTTCGGAGGCCATTATGATGACGTCATGAGTTAAATGAGGGTCAAATGACACATGAAATCATATCTCCAACTCATACTTATTCCAACCATGATATAAAAGTTGGGGTCAATTGACTATCTCAAGAGCTATTTTGATTTTTAAAATGGGATGTTTTTGATCAAATTTGCATTATATTGCCCATAGCAGTACGCGCGGATTTTGAACTTTGACGCGCGCTCACGGCCTTATAAAAGGTCAAGAGTGACTGAAATTAATGTAAATTGTCATTTACGGTAAGAGAAATCTAAATCATGTAAAAAAAAATGAATTTGAACTTTTCCGCGCGTTGTGAGCGCGCGCAACGCGCGCGTTGACACTTACGGACGGAAAATTTTGAAATGCTTAAAATGACCTGATTCGTACTCTCCTTCAATAGTTAAGTAATTTTGAGCATTTTTAAATTTTGACGCGCACGTACGCGCGCGTCGTGACCTTTATGTGACCTTTGATGACATGATCTGTTGACCCTTGACCTGAAATATATGTGATATGAATATGAATGATCTTTGCTGATCCATCATGAAGATATGATGGGTAACGTGATTTCACAAAATGGCGCCTGGATGACGTCACGATAAATTGATGACCTTGAAAATGTTCCTGTCACGTCTCATGACAATGACTTATGACTGTGTAAAAATTAAAAGAAATTAACACAACCGATCTTGAGTTAACCGATAAACAAAAAACGGGAAGAAATAAAAACTAGATTTTAAATCGTCACGAGGACGATTAAGGTGGTCTGTTTTCAAGTCTTATGATAGATTATAATATTTTGTATATTGAGAAAGGGAGAAGTTATATAGACATGTAAAGAATGATCATCATCATGATGATCATGATGATGATGATCTTGATAGTGATGATGATGACGATCGATGATGATGATGATGATCATGATGATGTTGATGATTATCATCAACAGCTAGACCATGATGACAGACTGAAAAAAATGAGAGAACATTTAGATAGTATATAGTCTCAGCTTCAACATACTCAAAAATCAACAAAAATCAAGCCAAAATAAAGGCGATATTGCTCGCAAAAGACAAGAATGTAGAGATTTTGAGACAAAGTCATCTCCCATAAGGATTACACGCAAAAAGTAATGGATCAAGTGATAATAGGGTAATAATAAAGTAAATATGGTTGTTTATTACATTATTTGCGATATACGTGTTAATATTCAA